TGTGGATAAGGTGAGGGATGTCATCATGGAGACTGATGAAACAATGGTCTCTTTTGATGTCACATCCCTCTTTACATGCAATCCTGTTGATGATGCAGTAGAAGTGGTCATTTTAAGATTAAAATCAGACACCACTCTGAGCAGCAGGACCACGCTTTCCACAGAACAACTGTGTCAACTCTTGACACTGTGCCTGCATTCAACCTACTTCACATATGGGGAGCAATATTATAGGCAGAAACATGGGTGTGCTATGGGGTCTCCAGTTTCTCCTATTGTTGCCAACCTGTACATGGAGGAGGTAGAAAAGAGAGCCTTGACGTCCTTTTCAGGGACACCACCAAGTCATTGGTTCAGGTATGTTGACGACACCTGGGTTAAAATTAAATCTCAGGAAGTCCAACATTTTACTGACCACAGCAACTCTGTAGATAAATACATCAAGTTCACACGAGAAGATGTAAAAAATGGCAGGTTGTCTTTCTTGGACTGTGAGGTCTCAGTCTCTGATAGAGGACATTTGCAAACAGAGGTGTACCACAAACCCACTCACACAGACCAGTTTTTGAAGTTTGACTCCCATCACCTTTTGGAGCACAAGTTAGGAGTCATCAGGACTCTGTATCACAGAGAAGACAGCATCCCCACTAACTCAGGAGCCAGGCAGAAGGAGAAATCCTACACAAGACAGGCTCTAGAGCAATGTGGATATCCTAACTGGGCCTTCCTGAAAGCAGAGAAGAAACCCAAACAGGACTCCAGTCAGCCATCAGGTGAAAAGGAGGAACCCAGACCCAGACCAGTGGTCATTCCGTATGTTGAGGGAGTATCAGAGAAAGTGAGACGTTTATTTTCTAAACATAGCGTCCCAGTGGCTTTTAAACCCCAAAATACATTACGGCAAAGACTGGTTCATCCCAAAGATCCAGTCCCCCGGCACAAACAGAGTAATACTGTGTATGCTGTTCAGTGTCAGGAGGGCTGTGATCAGTCTTACATCGAGGAAACTAAACAGCCACTGGCCAAAAGGATGGCCCAGCACAGAAGATCAACATCATCAGGCCAGGATTCTGCGGTCTACCCTCATCTCCAGGCCAGCGGTCACTCTTTCAGGGATGAAGATGTTCACATCCTGGACAGAGAGGAACGATGGTTTGAGAGAGGAGTAAAGGAGGCCATCTTTGTGAAAAGAAATCGTCCATCATTAAACAGGGGTGGAGGCCTCCAGTTTCAACTGTCCCCCTCTTACACTGCTATTATTGCTAGTATCACTCAACCCCCTGTGAAAAGTAAACAGCCATCAGTGTGCTAATGACCCATTGTTAGGCTGATGGTCCTTCTTGACCATGTGAGCAGCTGGTTTTGGTTGTCAGCAGCAAACTTGTTGATCCACTCTGAGAAGGTGCTATTTAGGAGACTGAGCTGAATACAATACCTCAGACTGAGGAAGTCTCTCGGATGAGAGACGAAACGTTTCCATATTTTTTTGCTTTGTTTTGTTCTTTTGAATGTCCAGAGGACCAGATTGAACTTTTTTGGATTTTTCTACCTGGATTATTGAGCATGCATCAGGATATGATCAATCTGGGTTACTTTTCCTCGTGGGCGAAGCGATCTTGGGAAGGATGCCGGTCAGACCTGGCAGGCCCAAACATATTGTGAGGGTTTGCTAGGAACGTCTGGCAGAGTCTCCTGTGAGACGGAGCTTTAACTCCTACCTCCGGGAGAACTACGAACATGTTCCGGGGGAGGTGGGGGACATTGAGACCGAGTGGGCCATGTTCCGTGCCTCTATTGTCGAGGCGGCTTACTGGAGCGGTACACCACCAACATTGTTTATAGTAGGGGTGGTGTGCTGCTGACCTCAACTCGGGATGTCATGGGTCGTTGGGCAGAATACTTTGAAGACCTCCTCAATCTCACCGGCACATCTTCCACTGAGAAGATCAGTTCCTCCAAATCCGAGGCCATGGTCTTGAGACAGAAAAGGGTAGATTGCCCTCTCTGGGTCAGGGATGAGGTCCTGCCCCAAGTGGAGGAGTTCAAGTATCTTGGGGTCTTGTTCACGAATGAGGGAAAAATGGAACGTGAGATCGATAGGCGGATAGGTGCAGCGCCTGCAGTGAAGCAGGCGCTGTACAGGTCTGTCGTGGTGAAGAGAGAGCTGAGTCAAAAGGTGAACCTCTCAATTTACCGATCGATCTACGTTCCTACCCTCATCTATGGTCATGAGCTTTGGGTTGTGACTGAAAGAATGAGATCTCGGATACAAGCAGCCGAAATGAGTTTTCTCCGCAGGGTTTCTGGGCTCTTCCTTAGAGATAGGGTGAGAAGCTCGATCATCTGGGAGGGACTCAGAGTAGAGCCGCTGCTTCACCACGTCAAGAGGAGCCAGTTCAAGTGGCTACGGGGCCTCCCTGGTGAGGTGTTCCAGACATGTCCCACCAAGAGGAGACCCAGAGGAAGACCCAGGACACGCTGGAGGGACTATGTTTCTCAGCTTGCCTGGGAACGCCTCAGGATTCCGTCGGAGGAGCTGGCCCAAGTGGCTGGGGAAAGGGAAGTCTGGGCCTCCCTACTTAAGCTACTACCCCCGCGACCTGACCCCGGATAAGCGGAAGAAAATGGATGGATGGATGGATGGATGGATGGACGGACGAAGCGATCTTATCGTTCATGTAAAATATTTGATAATGTTCTTATAGAAACAATTCCTGAATGTTGTTCATACTGTGTTAATGCTACGTTTGTCTCTTGACCCTACAACTGGGTAAGGTTACAGTAGACCTAGCCCACTACTGGAGTTTCAATTAGGTATTTTAAGCTACTAATAAACATGATGGATGTTGATCATAATGCTTTATGTTAGGCCATTGGTAAGAAGGAGTGATTATTATTAGCGTTTCATAATGGCTACTGATTTTTTTCCCTAAAACTTAACTTGGGCTTCACTGTGTTTCTTAGAGTGTGACTAGGATGAGAGAAGCGGAGCATGCGCTATTCACACAAGGAGAGCTGTTGGTCAGGTTACTTCTTGTTCTGCCATTAACTCTAAAATAGTTATTGAATCAAGTGTTACTTGTGTAGGTAAAACTAGATGTTAAACAACTCGTTAAAATACACCAGAATGCAGGAAATGGCATCTACTTTATTCAAAATTTTCTGGGGGAGAACCCCCAGAACCCCCACCACCACCAGTGTTCCCCCCCCCCCCCCCACACACACACATTACAAACATGCTTCTGACATTAATGGCCATCGTGTTGCTAACCATCTTCCAGAGTAGGACCCTCACCCAGACCAAAGTGGGGGCTCTCACATTTAACATGCTACTCAGCTCATGAATAACAAGATTATTGTCTTTTTCATTTGAAGTGGGCCAAATCACTTATATTAAAAGAAAACAAATGAAAATTGCTACTGTAATTTGATTATTTTAATAAGCCATGTAACTTGCTATGATCCCAGGTTTTGAACAGGTGTGATACTGGTATGTTACCACAGCATGCACATCTGATGTTGTTCACAGTGTTCTTCAGTGTGTTCAGAGAGCTTGTGTGTTTTCCCAGAAACATAAAAAATTAGAGGGAACATTGATTTCACTCTCATCTATGGCCACGAGCTCTGGGTAGTGACACAGGTAAGACTTAGGACATGCTGGAGAGACTACATCTCTCCGTTGGCCTGGGAACACCTTGGGGTCCTCCCAGAAGAGCTGGAAGAGGTGACTGTGGAAAGAGATGTCTGGACCTCCCTGTTCAAGCTGCTGCCCAGAGACCTGATTTTGGAACAAGTGGAGGGAAATGGATGGATGGATAGAAGTTTATTGTTTAGTTGTTTTTTGGGGTTTTTTTGGCTGAAAAAGATCAGTTTATGTCAATCATGATCAATTTATTTATGACAATAAAAACATAAAACATTCAACTGGAGTGGGGGTGGAGCACGTTTGGTGGGCACTATTTGCTCTTTCAAACCTGAAAAGTATATTTTCTACACAGAAACTTTAAAGTGGGCAGCATGGTGGCGCAGTTGGTAGAGCTGCTGCCTCTCAGCGAGCTGGTTATCCAGATTGAAATCCCAGCCAGGGGGCCTTTCTGGATGGAGTTTGCATGTTCTCTCTGTGCATGTGTGGGTTTTCTCCAGGTACTTCGGTTTCCTCCCACAGACCAAAAACATGCATGTTAGGCTGAATGGTAACTCTAAATTGTCCCTAGGTGTGAGTGAGAGAATGAATGGTTGTTTGTCTTGTTTGTCTCTATGTGTCCCTTTGATGGACTGGAGAACTGTCCAGGGTGTCCCCATCTCTCACACAGTGATAGCTGGACATGGGCACCAGTGACCCCCGCAACTCAAAAAGGAAGAAGTAGGTAAAAGATAATGGATGGATGAAACTTTAAAGCTGATTTTGACAGATTTATTGTGAACATAATACTGTTGTAGAGATTATAGAACAAATGCATGATGTCTGAAAAATATGTTTTTATTTGCCACTACATACATATAATATTAACAATAATAAATAAATAATAATCAATAATAATAATAAATATTACATATATTGTACATTCAGAACAAGACAATAAACTCACAGAACTCAACAGGAAACAGTAAAGAAGGTCTCATTCAGACGACACAAACAGAAAACCAAGAGACACAAACGTCATCAGTCATGGAGTACAATCGGACGCCGTGGCGTTCTTAATGCCAACGGGTTTTTCTGACACCTTGGAGTTGTTCTTGTTTTTCAGAAGACAACGTTTTGATTTCTCATTTTTGAGTTTTGTTCTAGGAGACCTGCTAGATTCACAGTTTTATGAATTCAGTTTTGTTATCCGCAGCTCCTCAGTTCATCCTTTACCTTTTCTTTAAGATCCGCCTCTCTAAAACAAAAGCTGCCCTCTGAATGGTCAGCTACTCAAGGCCTTTGAGGAGCAGCACTCTCACTGTAACAATATTACATTTTAAATAAAGAGTAAAAAAAAAAACCCCATAAAATTAATCTTATTTTGTACATTTTAGTTTGTAAACTTTGCATAGCAACAAAAGTTACAGCTGTTTGTTCATTGGCTGAGCTCCCTGAATCAAGAGCCAATCACATTCCAGTATTATCACAGTTTTCAAACCTCTATAGGCTCCTCCCACCTTCAGCTGTGCTTGTCTGGTTCTTTGCCGCTCTCCAGCTGTGGTGAGGGGGTGGTCCTTGTGGAAGCCCCACCCTCTTCCTGCTGTTGCTTGGAGGAGCTTGACAAGTCAATGGCCACCTCCTCCTCTACATCCTCTTCCTCCAGAAGCTCCTCCTGAGCCTCACTGGCTTGCTGCTCTGCCGTGTCGCAGAACATGTCAGAACGTGTCGAGTCCGACGCAAGAGGGCTAGAACACTTCTTGGACATTTCCAGGGACTTCTTGTGCATACCTGTGTGGGCGGAGTCAGAGCAGGTTCAAACTGTGTCTTTAAATGAGGGCAGAATTAGAGCATATTCAGATTTTGTCAGTGAATGTGTGCGGAGTCAGAGCATATTCAGATTGTGTTTGTAAATGTGGGTGGAGTCAGAGCAAGTTCAAACTGTCTTTAAATGAGGGCAGAGTTAGAGCATATTCAGATTTTGTCTGTAAATGTGGGCGGAGTCAGAGCAGGTTCAAACTGTGCCTTTAAATGAGGGCGGAGTCAGAGCATATTCAGATTGTGTCTGTAAATGCGGGTGGAGTCAGAGCAGGTTCAAACTCTGTCTTTAAATGAGGGTGGAGTCAGAGCATATTCAGATTATGTCTGTAAATGTGGGTGGAGTCAGCAAGTTCAAACTGTCTTTAAATGAGGGTGGAGTCAGAACATATTCAGATTTTTGTCTGTAAATGTGGGTGGAGTCAGAGCAGGTTGACACCATTGACCATTTTAGACCAAATGTTGTTGTCTACCATGATGCATTTTTTGGGGTAACACGTGGACCTGAGCTCTACCAAGTTACTGTATATGTGGATGATTATGTCTCCACTCATATTTAAAGACACTCAACGCCTGTAACTCAAATACGTGTTATAATACTGCAAGTGCGTCTGCCTTTTCACAGCTGTGGGACTTGAAGGTATCAGAAACCAATTTGCGGAAGCTGCCATGTTGTATTTTATGAACCAGAGTCTGTGCATCAAAGATTTGGGCTTTAGGCCCCGCCTACTTCAAAACCAAAGCACACTAAATTTTAACTGAATAAATTATGCCAATTTTTGTGGCAGGTTACAACTTTTTTCATTGTTTTCTGTAAATAAATTAACCCAGAATCTAGGGTTTAAGAATTTTGCTCTCATATATTTAAATCAAGATATGTAATATTAGTAACACTTCAGATATTTTCAAGCTCTTTAAAATGAAATTATTTGTTTTAGGGGGGAAAAAAGTGAAAATGTTAATAGTCTTCTTCCAGAGGTCTGGGAGTTTAAGAGTTTTGTTAAGTAACTTAGCTGTTCCTAGGACTGCACTCTTCTGGACAGAGATCTCTGAGGTTGTTCCTGGGATCTGTTGGAGCCACTCTTCCAGTTTGGGGGTCACAGCACCAAGACCTCCAATGACCACTGGAACTACTGACTCTGACTCTCCACAACTTTTGTATTTCTTCGTTCAGCTCTTGGTATTTCTCCAGCTGCTCCTTCTTCCTGATGTTACAGTCACTTGGGGGTTGCTACATCTATCACCACTGCCTTCTTCTCTTGCTTGTCGACCACCACAATGTCCAGTTGGTTAGCCATCACCTGTTTGTTGGTCTGGATCTAGAAGTCTCACAGTATTTTATCCCTTTCATTCTCCACCACCCTTGGTGGTGTCTCCCACTTTGACTGTGGGACCTCCAGTCCATACTCTGCACAGATGTTCCTGTATATTATTCCAGCCAATTGGTTATGGCGTTCCATGAATGCTTTATCTGTCTGGATTTGCCACCCTGCTATTATGTGTTGAATTGTCTCAGAGGCATCTTTGCACAGCCTACATCTTGGGTCTTGTCTGGTATGGTAGACCCCAGCCTCTACTGCTCTTGTGCTGAGGGGCCTGTTCTTGTACCAGCATGATTAGTGCCTCTGTGCTGTCCTTCAGTCCAGCCATATCTAGTTACTGGTAGCATTTGTTATCAGCCATTTCCTCAACCTGTCAGTGGTACATGCCATGCAGGGGTTTATCTTTCCATGATGGCTCCTGTTGTTCTGCTTCTACCACAATGGGTTTCTGCTGCTGCCTGAGACATTCACTAATTAGTTCATCATCCAGGGATTTCCTTTTGATGTACTCCAGGATCTTGGTAGTTTCATCCTGTATAGTGGCTCAAATGATTACTGCCGCCCTCCTTTTTCATAGTGTATAGTCTCAGAGTGCTGGACTTGGACTGAAACCCTGTGTGGTGTCAGTGTGTCTGTGCATGTGAGTGTGCATTTGTGTGTGTGTGTGTGTGTGTGTGTGTGCATGTGTGTGGCACTGACGTGCATGCGGCTCACCGAGCAGCCAGGGCGCGCAGGATCCCATCATGCCGTTCTTGGCGGAGTTCAGGATGGACTCTGGCAGAGGGATGGAGTGTCGGACCATGGCACCGTACAGACCGTATTCTGCCATGACGCTGCTGCGGCCCCAACACTTCTCACGCTTACGCCATTTGGCCCGCCGGTTCTGGAACCAGACCTGAAACACAAAATCCAAACTCACATAAACGTTCACAAACAAAAATAACACAAATATGGAAAACAATAAAAATAAATAAAAGCACAAAAACTAAAATAATCTGGTAAACAAATTAAAAACTGTCAAATTTTACTCAGATTACATTTTGACCTTAATATACAGCCTGAACAAACCTGAGTGTTTCATCATCCTGAAGAACCAATCACAACAAATCACAACATATCAAACCACATCACATCGCATGACAACTCATCACAACCCATCACAACCAATCATGACCAATGGCGACCCATCGTGACCTATCACAACCAATCACAACACATCACAACCAATCGTTACCAATCACGATGAATTGCAACCAATCATGACACATCAAAAACCATTTCAATCAATCACAACCCATAGCGACCCATCATGAACCATCACAGTCAATCACAACCCATCACGACTAATCGCATCCTATTGTGACCAATAATGACTTATTATTACTAATCATGACCAATAACGACTCAGCATGACTAATCATGATCAATTGTGATCCATCACTACCCATCATGACCAATTGCAACCAATCATGACAATTGCGATTGATGATGGGTCGCGACCCATCATGACCCATCACATCTTCATGCTTCACAACCAATCACAACCCCATCCATCCATCCATCCATTTCCTTTACCCGCTTATTCCATTTTGGGTCACAGGGGTCGCTGGTGCCCATGTCCAGCAATCACTGTGCGAGGGGCGGGGTACACCCTGGACGGGTTGCAAGTCCATCACAGGGCCACATAGAGACAAACGAGACAAACAACCATTCACTCTCTCACTCACAACTAGGGACAATTTAGAGTTGCCAATCAGCCTAACATGCATGTTTTTGGACTGTAGGAGGAAACCGGAGTACCCGGAGAATACCCACGCATGCACGGAGAGAACATGCAAACTCCACCCAGAAAGGCCCCTGGACCGGGGTTTGAACCAAGGACCTGCTCGCTGAGAGGCAGCAGCTCTACCAGTTGCACCACCGTGCTGCCCACAATCACAACCCATCAAGACCAATTGCAAACAATTGTTACCAATTGTTACCAATCACGACCAATCATGACCCATCACAACCAAAAACAGCACATCACAATCAAACACAACGTATCACAATCCATAATGACCAATCATGACACATCAAAAACCCTTACAACTAATCACGACCAATAGCGACCCATCGCAGCCCATCATAACCAATCACGACCCGTTATGACCCTGTCCCAACCAATCACAACTTATTACAACCAATCATGACCCATTGTGTGTTGTTGTGTATTGTGTTATGTTCCTGTGTTGTGTTACCTGGACGTGTTGTGTGTTGTTGTATATTGTGTTGTGTCGTGGTACCTGGATGTGTTGTTGTGTTGTGTTACCTGGACGTGTTGTGTGTTGTTGTATATTGTGTTGTGTCGTGGTACCTGGACGTGTTGTGTGTTGTTGTATATTGTGTTGTGTTGTGTTACCTTGACGTGTTGTGTGTTGTTGTATATTGTGTTGTGGTACCTGGATGTGTTGTGTGTTTTATGTTCTTGTA